TCATTCCTAACATCAATCCAATATACGGTAATGTAGTGGTAAGTACCCCGCCTGTCACGCGGGAGATCGATGTTCAATTTCGTGCATGTGATGATTTTTCTTTTTCAATTTTCCTGTCCGCTATCAAACATCAACACTAGTTTATCATTTCATCATATACGCAGTGTTTCCTAATTGTGGAAATGCAAATGTATTCAGGACTCTAAGAACAAGGCACAGCATATTTCATGTAACCTGTTCATTGTAATTGTTATCAAATCCTCGGTAGTATAGTGGTAAGTATCCCCGTCTGTCACGCGGGAGACCTGGGTGTATTTCCCCGCCGGGGAGGATTTTATTTTTTCACAATTTTCATCTTTCATTATCTTTTATCATTAATCAACATCTGTTTCTTATCTCGGATCAATTACTTATTTTTCTAACTAATGAAAACGCAATTCTATTCAGAACGCTGGGAACGAGGCACAGCATATTTCATGTAACGTGTTCATTGCAATTATTATCAAATCCTCGGTAGTATAGTGGTAAGGATTTTGATTTTCAATTTTGCCATCTTTGATCTTCATCAACACTAGTTTCTAATCTCGGATCAATTTCTTAATTTTTCCTTACTCGTGAAAATGAAAATCTATTCAGTATGATACAAACGGGACACGTGACGCGTTCATTCCTAACATCAATCCAATATACGGTAATGTAGTGGTAAGTACCCCGCCTGTCACGCGGGAGATCGGTGTTCAATTCCATGCAGGTGATGATTTTTGTCTTTTTCAATTTTCCTATCTGCTATCAAACATCAACACTAGTTGATCATCTCATCGTATACGCAGTGTTTCCTAATTGTGGAAATGCAAATGTATTCAGGACTCTAAGAACAAGGCACAGCATATTTCATGTAACCTGTTCATTGTAATTGTTATCAAATCCTCGGTAGTATAGTGGTAAGTATCCCCGCCTGTCACGCGGGAGACCTGGGTGTATTTCCCCGCCGGGGAGGATTTTATTTTTTCACAATTTTCATCTTTCATTATCTTTTATCATTAATCAACATCTGTTTCTTATCTCGGATCAATTACTTATTTTTCTAACTAATGAAAACGCAACTCTATTCAGAACGCTGAGAACGAGGCACAGCATATTTCATGTAACGTGTTCATTGCAATTATTATCAAATCCTCGGTAGTATAGTGGTAAGGATTTTCATTTTCAATTTTGCCATCTTTGATCTTCATCAACACTAGTTTCTAATCTCGGATCAATTACTTAATTTTTCCTTACTCGTGAAAATGAAAATCTATTCAGTATGATACAAACGGGACACGTGACGGGTTCATTCCTAACATCAATCCAATATACAGTAATGTAGTGGTAAGTACCCCGCCTGTCACGCGGGAGATCGGTGTTCAATTCCATGCAGGTGATGATTTTTTTCTTTTTCAATTTTCCTATCTGCTATCAAACATCAACACTAGTTTATCATCTCATCATATACGCAGTGTTTCCTAATTGTGGAAATGCAAATGTATTCAGGACTCTAAGAACAAGGCACAGCATATTTCATGTAACCTGTTCATTGTAATTGTTATCAAATCCTCGGTAGTATAGTGGTAAGTATCCACGTCTGTCACGCGGGAGACCTGGGTTCATTTCCCCGCCGGGGAGGATTTTATTTTGTCACAATTTTCATCTTTCATTATCTTTTATCATTAATCAACATCTGTTTCTTATCTCGGATCAATTACTTATTTTTCTAACTAATGAAAACGCAATTCTATTCAGAACGCTGGGAACGAGGCACAGCATATTTCATGTAACGTGTTCATTGCAATTATTATCAAATCCTCGGTAGTATAGTGGTAAGGATTTTGATTTTCAATTTTGCCATCTTTGATCTTAATCAACACTAGTTTCTTATCTGGGATCAATTACTTATTTTTCTAACTAATGAAAAAAAAATCTATTCAGTATGAAACGGGACACGTGACAGCATATTTCATGTAACATCATTGCAATTATTACAAATAAGTATGTGGTAAGGATTTTCATTTTCAATTTTGCCATCTTTGATCTTCATCAACACTAGTTTCTAAGTACCCCGCCTGTCACGCGGGAGATCGGTAGTTAATTTTTCCTTACTCGTGAAAATGAAAATCTATTCAGTATGATACAAACGGGACACGTGACGCGTTCATTCCTAACATGAATCCAATATACGGTAATGTAGTGTTAAGTACCCCGCCTTTCACGCGGGAGATCGGTGTTCAATTCCATGCAGCTAATGATGTTTTTCTTTTTCAATTTTCCTATCCGCTATCCCCGTCTGTCACGCGGGAGACCTGGGTTCATTTCCCCGCCGGGGAGGATTTTATTTTTTCACAATTTTCATCTTTCATTATCTTTTATCATTAATCAACATCTGTTTCTTATCTCGGATCAATTACTTATTTTTCTAACTAATGAAAACGCAATTCTATTCAGAACGCTGGGAACGAGGCACAGCATATTTCATGTAACGTGTTCATTGCAATTATTATCAAATCCTCGGTAGTATAGTGGTAAGGATTTTGATTTTCAATTTTGCCATCTTTGATCTTCATCAACACTAGTTTCTAATCTCGGATCAATTTCTTAATTTTTCTTACTCGTGAAAATGAAAATCTATTCAGTATGATACAAACGGGACACGTGACGCGTTCATTCCTAACATCAATCCAATATACGGTAATGTAGTGGTAAGTACCCCGCCTGTCACGCGGGAGATCGATGTTCAATTTCGTGCATGTGATGATTTTTCTTTTTCAATTTTCCTGTCCGCTATCAAACATCAACACTAGTTTATCATTTCATCATATACGTAGTGTTTTCTAATTGTGGAAATGCAAATGTATTCAGGACTCTAACAACAAGGCACAGCCTATTTCATGTAACCTGTTCATTGTAATTCAAATCCTCGGTAGTATAGTGGTAAGTATCCCCGCCTGTCACGCGGGAGACCGGGGTTCAATTCCCCGCCGGGGAGGATTTTATTTTTTCACAATTTTCATCTTTCATTATCTTTTATCATTAATCAACATCTGTTTCTTATCTCGGATCAATTACTTATTTTTCTAACTAATGAAAACGCAATTCTATTCAGAACGCTAAGAACGAGGCACAGCATATTTCATGTAACGTGTTCATTGCAATTATTATCAAATCCTCGGTAGTAATTTGGTAAGGATTTTCATTTTCAATTTTGCCATCTTTGATCTTAATCAACACTAGTTTCTTATCTCGGATCAAATACTTAATTTTTCTTACTCGTGAAAATGAAAATCTATTCAGTATGATACAAACGGGACACGTGACGCGTTCATTCCTAACATCAATCCAATATACGGTAATGTAGTGTTAAGTACCCCGCCTGTCACGCGGGAGATCGGTGTTCAATTCCATGCAGGTGATGATTTTTCTTTTTCAATTTTCCTGTCCGCTATCAAACATCATCACTAGTTTATCATCTCATCATATACGCAGTGTTTCCTAATTGTAGAAATGCAAATGTATTCAGTACTCTAAGAACAAGGCGCAGCATATTTCATGTAACCTGTTCATTGTAATTGTTATCAAATCCTCGGTAGACCAGGGTTCAATTACCCGCCGGGTAGAATTTAATTTTTTCAATTTTCCTATTTGGTATCAAAAATCAGCATTAGTTTTTTTTTCTAAAATTTCACGTGTAAGACCAGGCTTCAATCCTCGCCGAGAAGGATTTTCATTTTCTTAAATATCAATTTTGTTCTCTGCTATTAAAAATCGCATTAGTTTTTATCTATAATCAGCATGATTAAGTCCTTGGTACTTTAATGGTAAGTAACCCCACGTGTCCTGCAGTAGACTAGGATAAAATTCCTCGCTAGGGTTGAATTCAATTTTTTCAATTTTCTGGTATCTGCATCAACACTAGTTTCTCATTTGATAAATTATATCTAGTTAGTGTTTCCTACTAATGTGCATTCCGTCTGTGAAAAAAGTATTTTACACAGTAGTAAACAACAAAATAACAATTATTTTTTTAATTAGTCTGGTAATTAAATTAAGATAATGTTAATAGCATGCATTCCGCTTGTCATATTGAGGACCAGGTTTCAAGTCCACACCGAGGATATGCGGGATACTTCAAGTCCACACCGAGGAGATGTGGGATACTTGCGATTAAGTCCTCACCGAAGAGGATAATATTTTGTATTTTTTTCTAATCTTTTATCATTGATCACTAGTTTCTTTGATGTGTTCTTATTCCTTTTATTGATTAATTTATCATGTCTGTTATCATTAATTATTGCTACTTATCTGATATACTAATCAGCATTACGAAAATAAAACGGGCCTTTTCTTCTCGCCATGAGTTATTTCCCTTGTGAGAAAGCTCCTATTCCATGAGTTAGGAAACGTGTTATCAACAAATCCCATGGTGCACTTCCTGTTAGTAGAAGCTTTTCGGTCCTAACATGTACTGTTTATGATAACTCCGTGTGAAAACCGAGAACAATTGTCACCGAAGAGAATCAATATGTGAAATACGCCATTGCTGTTGGAAATATTGACCTTATGCTTAAAGTGATCGGAAATGGATTTGACGGTGATCGCTATGAAACAACGATGTCAATTAGGAATTCCAAAATGTCATAATGAGATATGATTAACGCTATGGACTTGATACGCGAATAAAACCTTGTTATGTACATCTGGTTGATGCAATTTAGACATATTCATAATAATCTTCGAATATTATTAGAGCAGCGCGATTTTCTACCCAACCGCAGAGACATAAATAAATGGTATTGCATAGCATCAGGGGTATAATTAAGATTGCATTGGAACAGTTGAAATCAACCCCAGCTAACAAAAAGTGTTTATCATTCTTTTATTTTCCAAAACCGTGATGAAATAAGTAACAACTGAATTGTTTGTTTGTTGAAAATATAAATCTAGCAGTGATCTGACCAATACAAAGCATCATGGCCCATAGTAACGGACTTGAAATGTTTGAACTTATCAAACAGATAGGGAAAGGAAGCTACGGCGAAGTGACGTTGGCTCGTCACAAACGAGACAGAAAACAGGTGAGTTATAAATGTGTCAGTGAAAAGAAGCTACGACGAAGTGACGTTGGCTCGTCACAAACGAGACAGAAAACAGGTGAGTTATAAATGTGTCAGTGAAAGGAAGCTACAGCAAAGTGATGTTGGCTCGTCACAAACGAGACAGAAAACAGGTGAGTTATAAATGTGTAAGTGAAAGGAAGCTACGGCGAAGTGATGTTGGCTCGTCACAAACGAGACAGAAAACAGGTGAGTTATAAATGTGTCAGTGAAAGGAAGCTACAATGGTGACATTGGCTCGTCACAAACGAGACAGAAAACAGGTGAGTTATAAATGTGTAAGTGAAAGGAAGCTACAACGGTGACATTGGCTCGTCACAAACGAGACAGAAAACAGGTGAGTTATAAATGTGTAAGTGAAAGGAAGCTACGGCGAAGTGATGTTGGCTCGTCACAAACGAGACAGAAAACAGGTGAGTTATAAATGTGTAAGTGAAAGGAAGCTACGGCGAAGTGATGTTGGCTCGTCACAAACGAGACAGAAAACAGGTGAGTTATAAATGTGTAAGTGAAAGGAAGCTACGGCGAAGTGATGTTGGCTCGTCACAAACGAGACAGAAAACAGGTGAGTTATAAATGTGTCAGTGAAAGGAAGCTACAATGGTGACATTGGCTCGTCACAAACGAGACAGAAAACAGGTGAGTTATAAATGTGTAAGTGAAAGGAAGCTACAACGGTGACATTGGCTCGTCACAAACGAGACAGAAAACAGGTGAGTTATAAATGTGTCAGTGAAAGGAAGCTACGGCGAAGTGACGTTGGCTCGTCACAAACGAGACAGAAAACAGGTGAGTTATAAATGTGTAAGTGAAAGGAAGCTACGGCGAAGTGATGTTGGCTCGTCACAAACGAGACAGAAAACAGGTGAGTTATAAATGTGTCAGTGAAAGGAAGCTACAATGGTGACATTGGCTCGTCACAAACGAGACAGAAAACAGGTGAGTTATAAATGTGTAAGTGAAAGGAAGCTACAATGGTGACATTGGCTCGTCACAGACGAGACAGAAAACAGGTGAGTTATAAATGTGTCAGTGAAAGGAAGCTACGGCGAAGTGACGTTGGCTCGTCACAAACGAGACAGAAAACAGGTGAGTTATAAATGTGTCAGTGAAAGAAAAAAGGTGAATTATAAATGTGTAAGTGAAAGGAAGCTACGGCGAAGTGACGTTGGCTCGTCACAAACGAGACAGAAAACAGGTGAGTTATAAATGTGTCAGTGAAAGGAAGTTACGATGAAGTGACGTTGGCTCGTCACAAACGAGACAGAAAACAGGTGAGTTATAAATGTGTCAGTGAAAGGAAGCTACGACGAAGTGACGTTGGCTCGTCACAAACGAGACAGAAAACAGGTGAGTTATAAATGTGTCAGTGAAAGGAAGCTACGACGAAGTGACGTTGGCTCGTCACAAATGAGACAGAAAACAGGTGAGTTATAAATGTGTCAGTGAAAGGAAGTTACGATGAAGTGACGTTGGCTCATCACAAACGAGACAGAAAACAGGTGAGTTATAAATGTGTCAGTGAAAGGAAGCTACGACGAAGTGACGTTGGCTCGTCACAAACGAGACAGAAAACAGGTGAGTTATAAATGTGTCAGTGAAACAGCTTTTGATGCCACTTACATTTATCAAAGATATTGGATATTGCTTTTGTAGGATTGCTTTTCTGGCTAGTCTAGAGTATGCTATTTCCAAAATTTTGATGTGATACAGAGACCTAGAACTAGAAGGTTCTGAATATTTGAGTGAGTCCCATAGAAAAGCATGAATCCCAAAAGTCTAAAGATATACAGAATACTATATGATTCCAAAATAGCTTTTAGCAAAAACAATATATACTGATAAATATTTATATCAACTCACAGAATGTTTATAATAAGCTTGACAATTTTATACTAAATATCATATTAAAGAGTACATAGTTGTAGACTCTTCTGCTTTTATCGTAATAAATTAGGGAATACACCCTGACACATAAATACTTATTTATTATAACTACTTGAGTGATAATGGGACGAAAGTTTTGACATATCACTGTCCCAATTAGTAGTGGCCAGGAATTAATATCAATGTTATGGAGTGTATTCCCCAATTTACTACATTTTGACAAAATCTTCGATTCAATACACTCCCTTCTGTTCAAGACAACTAACAATTCAAAATTTCAATGGTTACAGTTTCATATAAATCATCACATTTTAACTACTAACTCTTATATTTACAAGATTGGTCTTCCAAATAATCCTCACTGTACTTTTTGTATGACAGAAAGGGAGACAATTACTCACATTTTATGGGAATGCAATGAGGTACAAAAGTTATTAACAAGTCTTGAAACACTATTAGAAGTTCTTACTATTAACTTTTCTGTAAATAAACATACTATGATTTTTGGAATATATGAACAAACAGGTCTTTACAACGGAATAGATAATGAAATTATTTTACTTATTAAACAATATATATATAAAACCAGATGTTTTCTTAATTCCCTTAATGTTATGGTATTAACTAACCAGATTAAAGAGTACTATAAAGTCCAGAAATATATTACTTATGGTAAAGGAGAAGACTATCTTAAAAAAATTAATGATAAATGGAAGAAATGGATGAAATTTGTTGAGCTCGCCTAAATTTGAAATTCTAATTTTGTGAACACATCTTCATGTACTATTCTATTACTACTCCTTATGAAGATAATCTGAAAGTCAGACCACTCACTATCTCCCCTCCCCCACCCCCTCCTCTTTCTTTCTCTCTCTCTCTCCCTCCTTCTCTCGCTCTATCTCTCGCCCTATCTCTCGCCCTATTATATGTATTGTATATGTCTTCTTGTGGTGCAGATGAATGAACAAGTGACTATAGATGAATGTGTGTGTGTGTGTTGTGTGTGATCTGGATGTAGTAGATGGAGGACATATATGTATTGTAGAAGATAATAACATGCACTAGAGATATGAAGTTGTATGGTAATGAAGGTGATTATAATGACAATGAGGTGAATAGTGATGACAGGTATGTATACATATTCATTGTGAAAATAATAGAATGTCGACTGATTATGCTGTTGAGGACGAATGGGTGGATGGATGATGGATGGATGGATGAATGGATGTCTTGTTTTGTACACTTATGTCAATATCTTTCAAAAATGAAAAATTATGAAAAAAATCTTCCATTCAGTAATTGCTGCATGCTTTGAATACTAGTTATCTCAATCTTCCTTTTCAGTATGTACTGAAGAAAATTAACCTAATGAAAGCATCTAAAAGAGAGCGATCTTCAGCCGAACAAGAAGCAAAGTTACTGTCAAAATTAAAGCACCCAAATATTGTGTCTTATAAAGACTCCTTTGAGAAAGATGGAATACTGTTCATAGCCATGCAGTATTGTGAGGGAGGAGACCTTTATACAAAACTCAAGGAAAATAAAGGCCAGGCTTTAGATGAACGACAGGTTGTTGAGTGGTTTGTACAGATTGCCATGGCTTTACAGGTAAGTGATTAATTTATTCTGTTTTTACCTGGGGTGGTTGAAAAATGTTTTGGTTATGTCCGCTAACGTTACGAAGGTTAGTTTAACCTAATTATTTAAACTACCATCCACAACATTTACAACTTAAGACAAATTTAGTGGACCCATTAATTCACTGAAGTAAATTGATTCAGTTTTCCTTGAATTGTCAGGATAAGTTTTCAATTTATTCGCATTATCTGGTTAATGATTTACAAAAAAAACTTTTTTAGATTGGATAATGTATCATTGGAATAAATAGCAGAATTTGAAAATTAATTCCTTTTAAATATTCTTATTTGAAAACTATCACTATTCATTTTTTTCTTGAAATTGAATGCATGATTTGTTTCTTTGCTTCCTAATGTCTGAGGAAGAGGTAAATCTGTCTCATGCTGATCACATTTCAGTGTATATATATCTTACTGTACAAGAAACGTTCATGTGATAATTGATGAACTGGATATCCAAGTTTTTCTTGTTTGGATCTCCTTTACATGTTATCTTTTTCTACTTTCTCTTTGCAGTATATGCATGAAAGAAACATCTTACACAGAGACTTAAAAACCCAAAATATATTTCTTACTAAAAGTAAAATTATCAAGGTCGGTGACCTTGGTATAGCAAGGTATGTACATGAACCTGTATATTAATTTCTACATACCATTTGTTGCTATATTTAGTATACTGTCTTTTCTTCTATAGATATACATAAATCAACAGAATAATTTCACGTACATGTTTTATTAGATTTCATTGCAATGATGTCTTGTTGATTTTATTAAATGAAATGTATGATACTTTATTTTCATGATAAAAATTGAGGAACCAAATGCAAAGGGATAAGCTTCCATCATATTATCTTTGATGTTTCTGTTGTATAGGTGAATTGTACCTACATCTAATAAAGATTCTATGATATTTTGATGTTTTCAGAGTCCTGGACAGCTCCAGTGACATGGCTACTACTCTAATTGGAACTCCTTACTATATGAGTCCAGAGCTGTTTTCAAATAAACCCTACAATCACAAGGTAGCACTATTTTCTAGTGAGTCTAATCAAAACCAGATGACACAAGGGTATCAAGCCTTTTATTACTGTTTATATTTCCTGAACACTAATGATGAATTTGTCACATTTTGTACAAGAATTTCTTTATTCCTAAGTTTTATATCTTGGTATATCTTCAGTTCAAAATGTGTTTTGAAAAATATCTTCAACATTGGTGTCTGCTGTTTTTGATAAATGATAAGACATGTGACATATTTTATATAATGACAGACTTTTATTTTTTTGGTATAAATTGAAATGAAGACTTCATAAATCTGTTTACATCTGGTGTAATTATGATATCTTTTTTGTTTACAGTCCGATGTTTGGGCACTGGGCTGCTGTGTTTACGAGATGGCGACACTAAAGCATGCATTCAATGCCAAAGACATGAACTCCTTAGTATACAAAATACTGCGAGGAAAGGTAAATAGGGTTTATGGATACATACTGCAGTGAATAATTCCAAAGGGCTCTAATGATGAGGGCATTTGTGGTTCAAATATTACAAAGTAGGAAATATTTCACTTCAGAATCTTATACTAAGATAAAATCCCAGGTGTTTGTAGGTCTGTAGCCCTCTCTGTACTTTGTATATATCTCATACCTGTGGGTAGTACATACACACAGTACTAATGTATTTCAGTAATATTCTGTCAATCCGTCTGTCCTTTGAAACATTCACCTGTCAACATATTTTTTACATCAATTCAGAATTTAATTGTATATTCAATGAAATGTTTTGAAAGCGGGACAGAAACCTTCAGTGATATATATAGGTGTTATAGTCTTGTCCTGTTAAATTTCACACTCTACCAGGTATAGTAACAGGACATGTAAATCTACTGTTTGACCTGTTCTAGATGCCTCCTATGCCAAAACAGTACACAGCAGAACTCCTCCAGATCATCAAAAATATGCTACACCAAGACCCAGAGAAACGTCCTACAGTTAATCGCATCCTCCGTGACTCCTACATCAAAAAGAACATCTCAATCTTCCTAGAGGAAACCAAGAAGAGGTACAGAGTTAATCAAAGGATACTAAATTTACTGAATTTTCCAAAATATGTTTGTTTAGAAAAATGTGTCTTTTTTACCAAAGTTATTTCTCAGCATAGATTTGATGTTATTGTTCAGAAAAGACATTTTTATGGATAGCAATGGTTTAAACATTCTTAGAAATAACATGACAAGGATCAGTATATAAACATCATTAATACAGTTGGTGTGTTATACTGAGGCTTGTTTACCTGCCTTTAGCCACTTATGAAACCTATATTCTTCCTTGTTCAGATAGTATTACAGGTCTCCAAAAGGTTTCCATTAAAAATGATTTTGTTTGATCTTTGCTTTAGTCTGAAATCAGACAGACAAGGGTAAGTATGGTAATGAGGCAATTAGTGATTTGTGGTAGAGTCATGCATATCTGTACACAATTACTATTTAAAATGAGCCATTTAATGACAAGATATCATCCAGGTTTTTCTTATGGTGGAACTCCTTTGAATTGGAAACCCAATTTACAGTAAGATAGCATATGCTCCTTCACAGAGAGGTAACATATAGCCTTAAATTTCGCTATCACAGTAAGGTAGCATATACCCTTAAGTTTACCACAGTAAGGTAGCATATACCCTTAAGTTTACCACAGTAAGGTAGCATATACCCTTAAGTTTACCACAGTAAGGTATCACACACCCTTGATTTTGCCTATCACAGGAAGGTATCACACACCCTTAATTTTGCCTATCACAGTAAGGTAGCATATACCCTTAAGTTTACCACAGGAAGGTATCACACACCCTTAATTTTGCCTAGGTAGCATATAGATGTATTGTTAGGTGCCAGTAGATGCTTAGCAATCTAAATGACTGCAAGACTGGTAAGGCTCTATAGGTCATGGACCTTGTAAACAAAGTGTTTGTGGCAGTGATTTCGTACAAGAATGCTGACTTGGTTTTTTCACTAGATCCTCAGATAGTCAGCTAGTCACATCAGTAAAAACTTTTTAAAAATTCTGTATTTTCTTTTTCATGCGTCGTATTACAATGGTAAGCAAGCAGTGACATTACCTGTTGGTTTGATCACCAATTTCTTCCTTCATTGTTTTTAACACCAGTAACGCACTTTTTATCTCTTCTTGTACAAGAAATCTTTTTCTGGCAAAACTAAGATGCATGTTCAGCTCCTATAAATATCATCCTCATTACAATGATGCTGACTGGTATTAATATAATATTTTTGAAGGATCTATATAAAAAGAATATTGCTTCAAACAAATCTTTGCAATATTTCTTTTCTTCAAAATTTGAATGTTTATAATCTTATGTATATGATAATTACCCTATTGTTTTGTCATAATGTAAAACAACTGACACTGGAAACATCACACTATGGTCTAGCTTCCCTGGCACTGTGTTAAATCACCCCAGATAGTGCTGTCTCTATGTAGTCAAACCACAGACAGGCACAAACATCATCTGTGGAAATTTCTTTTTATTTTAACATTCTGAAAGTTTTCTTTATATTTAAAGATATGATACATGTACATATATCATGAATTTTAAAATTGGTTTCATTTTTCCTAATTTTGTGAAATGACTTTCAGAATAAACTGTAGATATATCTAAACTATATACTTGTTACATTTGAAGTGTGCATTATACCTCAGTCTAGTAGGGAACTCTCTGGCACAGTTCACTGGCTGTCTATTACATAGGACATTTCAGACGCTGATAGGTTGTGTCAGTGTGTGTTTTTATTTAACACTTTACAGCTCAGGTATAACCTGTGACCCTCTGATTTTGGAGGTAGATTCATCTTTCATATACGTGTGAGAAAAGCAGCAGTAATATCCTTGTTCAGCTTTTTACTTAATCTTGGTAAATCAGCTTGTTAAGAACAAAATGTGACAACTCTTAAGTGTTATACTGTTGATAAATTGGTCAATTGGTTTTAATTACAAATGACCGTGGTATGAAAATGTGCTGTTTTTAAAACCTATGTTAGCAAGCTAGAAAGTAAAACTCATCAACATCAGACTCAAAATATGCAATTGTAATGAATTAATACAATAGTGTCAAACACTAATAATGTTTAAAAACAAAGTTCTTGTCCAGTCTATAGGGACACGAGTCCTGACCTACACTCCATATATATACTGAAAGGATATAGAAACGCAGGGTAATATTTATTCAGATATTTTGAAAATGCATTCTCCAAATAAAGTGAAACTTTGTGGATTGAGTAATTAGGTCATATTACACCTTGTTATGTATCGAAAATTTAGTCACGGTACAGTGCGCAGCTCTGGTAAATGGAGGAAGGAAAAAACAAGAATCTTGTGCACCGTGTTGTTCTGGTCTCTTGCAGCATTGGTCAAGTCACTCTTCGTTAGTCTTTATACAGACCAACTGCTTCCCTAAAATTAATTGAGAATTTGATTCGTTTTAAGAATGGCAAGACTCACAGAAGTTCAGAGGGGTCAGGCCATTCAGATGCTGATGCAAGGACAGCTGCAAAATCAGGTTGCTAGGCACTTTGGTGTTAATGTTTCCACCATAGAACGTCTTGTAAGACGTCTTCGGGAAACTGGGCGACTGGCCGATCGACCTAGGACAGGACGTCCGTGCGTAACGTCACGACGTCAGGATCGCTATTTCGTCGTCTCTCATGTGCGTAATCAGCGCCTTACTGCCGTTGAGAGTGCACTTAATGTTCGTGGAAATCATGGGCGTCCTATAAGTTCAAAAACTGTAAGGAATCGATTACGAGAAGTTGGTGTAAGAGCACGTCGCCCCAACGTAGGTCCACACCTTACCCCTGCTTGATGTCAGCGTCGTAGGGCCTGGGTCGCTGCACATGCTCCACGACGGTTTCCACTGAGGCAGTGGAGACAAGTTTTCTTCACGGACGAGTCTTGATTCTGTCTTTATCGATCTGACAGCCGTCAACGTGTCTACCGACGTCGCGGCGAATGTTTTACGGACGCTTGCGTTGTAGAGAAGGATAGGTTTGGGGGCGGTTCAGTAATGGTGTGGGGAGGAATCTCACACGGGTTAAAATCACAATTGGTTGTTATTGATGGCAATTTAACAGCAGCTAAGTATAGAGATGAGATCCTCCGACCCCATGTTATCCCTTTCTTACAGCAGCATAATCTAACCCTCCAGCAGGATAATGCTAGGCCCCATGTAGCAAGGATTTGCCAAGTCTTTCTGGCCAACAACAACATTCAACCACTAGATTGGCCGCCATTTAGCCCTGGTTTGTACCCGATCGAGCATCTTTGGGACCAGTTGGATAGACAGGTTCGAAAGCACCAGTCACCCCCTGCTACTCGAGAGCAGTTGACCAGAGCTCTGATTGAAGAGTGGGACAACATCCCCATAAGACGGATTAACGCTCTCATAAACTCTATGACCAGAAGAATAAGGGCCGTGACCACAGCAAATGGCGGACACACAAGATATTGATGACTCAGTTCAATTTCAAAATCCTATGGGTCCATTCAATTTAATTGTTAGTACCTCTAAACCAATTGTCAGATGCAAAATACAGACTTTGGAAATTTTTAAGCTTTAATTTATCTGTAAGTATACAAAATTTCGTTTTAAATGAAGCCCGATATCATACTTAATTTCTGGTTTAAAGTTCACCCTGCGTTTCTTTATCCTTTTAGTATATGTATAATTGTCACTGTAACGCATATATATAGTTCATTAATCTGTTGATGTATAAAAGTTCCTGCCCAGTCATTTTCTCACCTGTTTTTAAAGGGTTTAACCATTGATGATGAAATGATTCTCTTTGGTTGATTGTTCCAAGTTCTAACTTCATGAAAAGTTTTCCTATATATAAAGTTTATAGTGCAGTGGACACAAACACTCAAAGCCAGAAATCACTACTATAAGGGAAGTGGTTGGTTTTAGGTGCCTGTGTGTAACTTTTGAACCATGTGATGAGATATAGAGACTGTTTGTAGTATAGACTTTATTTGTGATGTACTGGTTGTTTTTGCAGTCGACCAAGTAGTGCCAGCAAGCCAAGTAGTGCGACTCGAGTGCGACCCACTTCATCGCGGTCCAGTGCCAGTCACAGTGAGAGATCCCAGTATTCACGGCCACCACCCGCTCCATCATCTCAGGATGTTGTTGATGGAGGAAAAGAGAAGGTCAGTGTGTTTCATGTTAATGCCAATAGCCACGGTAACCGTGACAAGGAACCACCACCATCGGAGCCACAACCAGTACCAGTGGTTCTACGAAAACCCACTCATGCAAGAAAACCCTCTGATGGTGCCAAGCAAGAGCTGCCCCCAATAGCAGAGGACAAGGCAGTAGCACATGCAGAAAAGAGACTTGATTCATCATCAGGGTCAGATCACGACACAGTCAAAGCAAAAACTGTTAAAGAGAAAGAGGTCAGATTTGAATTTTTTTGTAAGCTTGTATAGCTATCCTTCAGGTAACATCAGATTTGAACATTTTTCTTCGTGCCTGATACTTGCTGAAATATAATCAAATTCTTTCAGTTTAGAAAGGGTAAATTTGATGTAAGCGTCCTTTATTTTGTATATATTTGAAAATATGAAATCCTATACTTGTAAATTCTCTATGAATGCAGAAGTGAAGCAACTAAATATTTTGGTTTTAATTAAGGACAAGTGCTGTATTTAGCTTGTCATAGGTCTCTATACAATACAGTTTATCACTTAAATCATCTAATTTTATTATCCCCCACCGAACAATGTTAGCTGAGGATATTCAAATGGGTTTGGTCCACCCGTCCGTCCGTCCTTCTGTCCATCTGGATACTGCCTCCGACATGATATCTTTTGAAGGACCGGTCAGATTTTTATGAAACTTGTTTGGTACTCTTGTTATCTTAATCTCTTGTCTAAGTTTGTTTAAAAGCAAATTCCTCACATATTTAATGAGGCTGCTGTGACCTGATTGGCTGATATTGTTCCCAGTTTTTGGTGTTGCTGGGGTAGGGGGGACTCTTGATGACTGTGTCCTTGTTGAATATTGATATACAGAACTATGATATGATTTATGAATCTTTGCAAATCCTACACTGTGTTGATCAAGAAGTACATGATGACCTTTGAAACAAGATACTGTTTGTTTATTTACAGAAACCTTCTTCACCTAAGAAGAACAATTCATCTAGTCCCAGAAAGAAGAAGAAAGAAAGTTGGTTATCCAAGAGAAAAGATGTTGATAAGCCTGATGGTGATTCTGCTGGGAATGTAGAGTCATCAGCTGCTGCAGTCAGCTCTAACCATAAAAAGTCCATTTTCAAAAACGTGAGTGATCTGATATTTGTGTGAATGGAAGGAATCTACTGGGAGGGTTCCCGGGGGTGGGGTGGGGTTAAACTATAAAATTACATTTACCGGTATCTACAGGGTTAAATTGGGAACCCTGACACATGGAATTCTGTGATTTAAGAAGATTGTGTAAAATTTGAAAGTAACAATGAATCTAGAAGGAAAAATTTCGGTTAAAAAGTTAAAAGATAAAAATTTGGTGAACTTTGAAAAATGAAAGGAAACAATTGAAGTGATGATTTTTGTGGTTCATATTTTGGTAGCTTTTGCTAAAAATGAGAGTAATTTTTACAGATATTATGGAACAGACAACTTTTTCCCTATAAGTATTATTTTTGTTGTATCTAGTTTTCACAGTTTTACTCCATTTGTTAAACCAGTGAAACTACAACTCGTCCAAATATCTACTTTTATTGTCAAAAACAGTATGAGATTTTCTTCCTGGAACAACTTGTTATAAGAGAAATTACTCCTTAAACTTGGTGTGTGTTACTTTGGTTCAATAGACAGTACATCTATACAATTACTTCAGTTATAAAAACTTACAAAAAAACTTTGGATTAAACAGCATGGCATCATGGAATCTGAACCACGTAATTCAGGACGTGATTATTCTGTAAGTAATGTAGTTTGTGTGAATCAATTCTTCTGAATTCTGTTTTTTAAGTGAAACACTTAACATGGGGAGGAATGAATGTAAATAACCTTCTGTAAGAATTAATATGTCACTGTTTCTGAGTGTTGTCAATGTCCAGGACTGTACTGTGTATATTCTAGACTTGTTAATCCAGCTATCACTAGTTTATAATCTGCTTTATTTAGACAGTGTGTTAGGGGACGGATGAGACTCTGTACAATCTCTGTAATCCTAAAGGTATGTTATACTCAAGCTATATTTAGACAGTGTGTTAGGGGACGGATGAGACTCTGTACAATCTCTGTAATCCTAAAGGTATGTTATACTCAAGCTATATTTAGACAGTGTGTTAGGGGACGGATGAGACTTTTCTCTGTACAATCTCTGTAATCCTAAAGGTATGTTATACTCAAGCTATATTTAGACAGTGTGTTAGGGGACGGATGAGACTCTGTACAATCTCTGTAATCCTAAAGGTATGTTATACTCAAGCTATATTTAGACAGTGTGTTAGGGGACGGATGAGACTCTGTACAATCTCTGTAATCCTAAAGGTATGTTATACTCAAGCTATATTTAGACAGTGTGTTAGGGGACGGACTTTTCTCTGTACAATCTCTGTAATCCTAAAGGTATGTTATACTCAAGCTATATTTAGACAGTGTGTTAGGGGACGGATGAGACTCTGTACAATCTCTGTAATCCTAAAGGTAGTGTGTTATACAATCTCTGTAATCCTAAAGGTATGTTATACTCAAGCTATATTTAGACAGTGTGTTAGGGGACGGATGAGACTTTTCTCTGTACAATCTCTGTAATCCTAAAGGTATGTTATACTCAAGCTATATTTAGACAGTGTGTTAGGGGACAGATGAGACTCTGTACAATCTCTGTAATCCTAAAGGTATGTTATACTCAAGCTTTCAGACAACTTACACCTACACAACATTGATTACTGTAAGTCACTTAGATTTCGAAAATACTTTACTTTGCGATCTTACACCTTCAGACATATTTGAATACATGATTATGTGAATGCTGATCTACAGATGACTTTAAATTTGTGAATGATGAACTATTAGAGACAATGACTCTTCAAGACTGCAATATCAGTAATCAAATCAATTTGAATGGCATCCCAGTTACTTTCCTACAAATAATCAGGCAGAATTAATGATTGTCTCTTCCCACATACACAAATAAATCCCAAATGAAATATGAGTGATTTTCTGTGTTGTTTAAATGGACATTGTTAACATGGTATTCTGTTGAGATACTTGTATCCTAATACTTTACTAAACACTATTGCTAAATTTGTTGGTCTTATGTACATGTACAATGTTTTTTTCCTGTGACAACACCTTATGAATTTTAATATATATGTCAAGGTTGGATTTCACACGGTGCCAGAGATGCGCCACACTTATGTTAAATTTGAACTGGTAAGATTTCACCATAGATGTGATGTCAGGATATTCAGACAGGAATATTATTGCTTTGTGCGAAGCTTTGGAAACTTTTCTATTGCAATTCTGCATTGTGAGTGAATGATTGCACATACACAAATTATTAATGTGCAAGCTTTAGCCTGAGTCATCAGTCAGGGTAGGCAACTATTTCTTCAATTCAGAAATTTGATTCGACCCTTAGGGACTTGGAAAAAAGAGAAAATAAGACAAAATTTAATGCTTTTTAATGCTTTAATGGATTTCAACCAAAGTTGGTTTGAAATATCATTAAGAACGGGGAATTATTTCTTAAATCCAGAAGGTTGATTCAAGGGCATTGTTAATAGGAATGACGTTGATCCACTTGGAAAATCACAGGGATGTTCAAGTCTTTAAATGACTTCTGAATAACCAAAAGGCCAAGGATGATGATATTAGGTGTATAGCAGCTCGGATGAAGGGCTACCAACTTTGTAAATATGAATGACACTGACCAACTTTCAAGGTCACAGGTATCAAATGTGTTAAAATGTTTAAATGACTTCATCTCAATAATCAAAAGGCCCAGATGCTGATACTGGACCAAATTTCAAGGTTACAAGGGTCAAATGTGTTAAAATGCTTAAGAAACTTAATTTTAATAACCACAAGGTCAAGGGCCTTGATATTGAGTCTGTAGCTTGCTTTTTCAGCAAGCAACACATCCGAAGTAATGACAATTGTGTAGTACATGTATAAAGAATATGATTTCAAGTTTGCAGAAAATGTCTTGATGAACCAAGAGTGCCTTCTATGCAAGCTGTAGAGTAGTTGAGCAGTTTATTTTAGACCTATTTTGCCCCTTTTATATATAAGTCTTTAAGTCAGATGACCCTTTTAGGCCAGTGGGCCTATTGTTTATGAGTTTCGGATTGTGCAGTGTTTTGCTTCAGAACTCTATTTTATTAGATAAGCCAGCAATATTTGTTTTACTGAGTCCGGCATATAAATCCCAAACAAAAAAAACACATTCTGTATTTAAAGGTGGAACTATTAAACATGTAATTAGCAAACTTTTATATTGAAAGTCCCAGTGATAAAGCATTTGGCAATTTCTTACTTTATTTAGAATAAATATATCTGTACTGCTTTAAATCTATTCTGTGAAAGTAAAAAAGACCAAACTTTAACTGAGAAGAGAAAATTCTCCAGTTGGAGAAATGTCTGAAGGACCGTCACCCTGCTAAGTTTATTTGTGTGTTGAGGTCGATTTTCTAGACTTCACGAGGATACCTAGTCAGTAATACTGAGCTTTCTTAATGACATAGTTTAATAGATCTATCTGTGTGTGTATTTGCTTTTGTGTTGTGTTTTGCCTTTCTACCAATATTATGGGAATCTTTCATTGGTGAATTTATTGTAATGATCATCTACTTTAACAGACTTACTTATAATGTAACAATGTACTTCATTCCAGACCCTAATCTCTGACTTTAGAGATTACTGTGTTGAATGAATCATGAAGTTATTTCTGATAATGATTTAGGTGATTTCGGAAGTTTGAAAATAAAACTATTGTGTCCTCCACATTTCATCAGCACAACTTATCAATAGAAAGACCGAATCCTGTAAAGTCGTATACCTAGTATTTTCACAGGGCTCCATTTTCTTTAAAAAAAAAGAAAAAAAAAAAGGAAAAAAAAAAAGGCTATCTCATGGACACTTTGTTTTGTGGATAATATCTTCTTAAACTTGTTTCAACATTTGTGGACTTATGAATCGGCAGATTATGAGTACCGATGAAATCAATGTAAATAGAAAACCCACAAAAATGAGTTAGTATTTAGAATGTATCAGAAAGAAATCAGTCAGGAGAGGTCAGAAGATGATCAGTATTGAATGGTTCACTTTGATACGGAGATGGTATAAAGGGTAGAGGTGAGAGGTGTTTTCTTTAAGTTCATATCTACCAAAATTGAGTTAATTCAAGCTACTGTGATATCTAGTACATGTCATTATACAAGACACCGAGAATTTGCTGTGCTGCTCCTCTAAACTCCATTTTTGTGTAAGTTAGGTAGTATTTCTTGTGGGATCATTGGCTTTCCTCCACCAACCAGACCAGGCACATTCTTAAATGACCCTGTCTGTGTAAAGCTATGATAAACTAATTCTATACCTCCAAGAGCTGCTCTTCTTTCTACTCTGTGTGGTTAAGAAATGTTTGACCATTCTTAATAAGTTGTATTTCATATTACTGTATTTATTATTTGTCAAAAGTCTTTTAAAATTGTTTTTCAGATTTTAAAATTGATATAAGATATTTACATAAAAAATAAATATTGTATAAAATTTGAATACTATGGGCTTGATAAACATGATGATTATTGTTTATTTTAAACTTGCTCCTGTGTTTACAGGCAGAAAATCCTCTGTAATGGTATTGTTTAGATGAACCTCATATTTGTACTGTTGCAGCCAAAGCCAGTAGATAAGCCACGCCCATTACCCCCTCCCCCTAAGGTGGAGGAGTCTGAGGGTCTTCCTCATCATCGTCCAGTCATTAGTCAAGACAAGCATTCAGCCACCGAATCCAAATCCTCAAGTACCTCCAGTTCTCGAGAGGATGCATCTTGGGATGCAGAAACACCAAGGGTCAGTTGAGTATTGAGTCATTACCAATTAGTTTGGTGTGATATCAGAAATACCGGGTACCAAGGGTCAGTTGAGTGTTGAGTCATTACCAATTAGTTTGGTGTGATATCAGAAATACCGGGTACCAAGGGTCAGTTGAGTATTGAGTCATTACCAATTAGTTTGGTGTGATATCAGAAATACCGGGTACCAAGGGTCAGTTGAGTGTTGAGTCATTACCAATTAGTTTGGTGTGATATCAGAAATACCGGGTACCAAGGGTCAGTTGAGTATTGAGTCATTACCAATTAGTTTGGTGTGATATCAGAAATACCGGGTACCAAGGGTCAGTTGAGTATTGAGTCATTACCAATTAGTTTGGTGTGATATCAGTTGAGTAAATTACCAATTAGTTTGGTGTGATACAAGGGTCAGTTGAGTGTTGAGTCATTACCAATTAGTTTGGTGTGATATCAGAAATACCGGGTACCAAGGGTCAGTTGAGGTACAGGAATCAGAAAGGCCAAGAGGCAGTTGTCCAGATTCTTGACATTGTGATATCGTCTTATCAGAAATGTTGTATGCCCTAATATATAAACAATCACTTTTTTTTTCTTATCAATTCTATTTATTTGTTGCCACTTCCTCTGAATGTAGTTTCTGCATTAAAATCTATGTTTAACAATTTACTTGTATTACTCTTTAAAGGTTTAGATACTGTGATAGTGTAATATGTATCAATTGATAACAATCAGGTAATTCAATGTTATCTGTATTTATCTTGGCACCATGTCTGGTGATAAGCCCATTCCTAGGTTTTGCTGTCCGCTGTTACCTAACAATGCTGTTTCATTGTCCATTGATAATCCAACTTCCTGACTTTGTGTTAGAAGTAATATGGGGGTCTCCTGGGGCCCAGTAATAAGCCCCCTGCCCTTCACCCGACTTTCAGTTGTTGGCCCTCTCTGGACTGGGTTCCTATAATAACCCTATCTCATGGCTTTTAGTTAGTATTGATATGTGGGTCCCCTGGGGTCCAGTAATAAAGTCCACCAGTTGGCTTGGGTAAGGTGCAATATCTGTCAGCCCCCTGGATAAATATTCTGGATAGAAATGGTACTTACAAGGTATTGAGGTTGTTAGGGGGAGATAACTCTTTTACAAAGTACAGATATTAACGATTGTTTTGATTTACAGAGCTTACCAAACCTGTCTGCCCGAGAAAGACGTAGGAACAATGCTTCGTCTTGTAAGTGATTTTCTGTACTAAAATCCTATTGAATGTATTTGATAATTAACTGTCAGAGTTGTCTACAATGGGACCATTATTTCTGTATAATACACAAGTATAGGCAGATAGATTCTGATCAGGAACAGTGCAGTGTACAAGAACCATAACTCTCTTTTACATAATTTAGGAGTTATTGAAACTTTAGTATACATTAGTCGTACTAAGAGATTGTACAGTTTACCAAAATTTAGGGGCTGTGACTTCTTTATCACAGAATTATCGCCTTTGATCTAATTTTGTGTCCAATAAAGTCGTTTTCGAGAGCATTCATCAGTCTCACTGATATTCTTGTTTGTTATCTGACTACAACAGATGTAATAACATTTATTCTATTACTGTAGCAATGGAACGTCCTCAATCAGCTCGTCATGTCAAATTAAAGCGACCAGAATCACAGAGGGTAACAAAAGCTGAAAGAAGTGAGGTATGTTAGCAAAAAATGAAAAATGATGAAAAAAAATGAATTGTGAAAAGGCACTTATCATGTTTCTCCATACCAGCACTTGCTGTCCTGACTGGCACATGTGTTGATATATGAGCACAAATTAAAGCGTCCATAATCAAAATCAGTCTGTCTGTAAGTAGCCATGCAGCCTCATCTTCAGCAAACTGTAAGATTATGATGTCAGAATCACAGAGTTATATTTAATGATATTTATTAATGTACACGTTTTGATTTGTAGCATGAACCAGTCCGAACAAAAACCAAACCCAAAATCCGCCAGCCATCTATACAAGATGATAGCTCAAGTTCTGAGGAGGAAACACTCAAGGAAAATGAGGACTTGAAGAGAAATAAAGAGAAACACAGGTATATAGTGTATACATGGTTGTGTACAGTAATGTTTCAGTCTTTTAACATTTGCAGGGCCTAGATATTCACAGATTTAAAAAAAAATTAAAGAGTTTATCTGTCTCTTATGTTTCATATTATACTTATTTTATATTATTATTTTAACTGGACACTAGTCACCAAGGTCATCTGTATCATTTTTATGTAACCCTGTACGATCTGGACACTAGTGTAAACCTGACCTTCACCAAGGTCAGCTGTATCAATTTTATGTAACCCTGTATGATCTGGACACCTGTGTAAACCTGACCTTCACCAAGGTCAGCTGTATCAATTTTAGGTAACCCTGTATGATCTGGACACCTGTGTAAACCTGACCATTCATAAGGATTTTTGTATACACCATTTGTAATCCTTTATAAACTGGAAGCTGTTTCACTTGAACAATGTTGATTAAATCTGACCTTGTTTGCTTTACTCTAGTGTTGATCTAGACAAGTTCCAATGTAGTCAAGTATACTGATTTCTCTTTTAATTTCTAAAATCATTTTATTAAGATTGTACTTGTATATAGATCTTAAAATCTTCAGTCCTAAAAATGAATTGAAAAAAAAAACTAAGAAAAAAATAATTTTTGTTTTGTGTAGCTGGTCGTCCTGGGATGATGGGTTTGACCTGTCAAGTACATTTGACAGTGATCGGTACGGTATTGGAGAAAGCTACCGAATGGCTTTTAAGTCGTCCATGTTACTCACTTGGTGATGGTTTTTGTTTAACTGTGTGTTGGCCTCGCTAGTGATGTCTTTGTCATTAGTACAAAATGACACTATTGGCGAGGAGTTTTGAAGACTTAAATTTGGTTCTTTAGCCAAATTAGCTGTCTTTCTACCGAATTTGGCGTTTTAAGATGAAGGTTACACGTGAAACATCTTTTATTCAAAATTTCAGAGAAAAATTATGTCTAGAATAAATAAGTACATTTCATACAATGTACATAGGTTTTATTGAATGAAGTGTTGCTTTGCTTCTTGAGAAAAAGCATGAGATAGAGCTGTGTTGGATTTGGTCGCAAGATATCTAGGTCTGCTGTGTATCCGTAGTGTGTTGACTTACTTAACCACAGCAACGTGGTAGTGTACAAGGTTAAAAGAGTGAAAAGATTCAAACACTAACTAAACAAACAAAAAGTAACTTGTTTTGTAAATATTTCACAATTTTACTCATTACAACAACGTTTTACTGTGTGGAGAGAATTTCTTGTCTCATCAGAGGTAGTTTGTTGTCTGTAACAAGTGTGATGAAGGCTGTATAACAAATGTTATCTTTTATTTTTCAAGGGAGAATAAGGAGATGAACAATTTTATATCACTGCTGGACACCACGCTGAAACTGAACAAGGAGGATGACAAATCTGATGAGGAATCAGTGGACAGCAAGGTGGTGGTGGTGGAGGAAGAGGAGGAGGAAAAAACACTGTCACCCATTCCTAGTCCAGATATCCACCGATCAGCCTCACTGCCAAGTCAGTTATCAACCAACCAAAACTTAAATTATACCTGAATATTTATTAACCAATCCAAACAAAGATTACATCAGAATTGTTATCAACCAATCAACAAATATATTACATAGGAGAATTATCAACCAATCAGAACACATATAACATCAGAATATGTAACAACCAATCAAACACAAAATACATCTGTGTATGTATTAACCAATCATATAAACCAGTCCAAATAAAGATTACATCAGATTATTATCAACAGATCAACAAACAGGTGACATTTGTCAACCAATCAGAACACACATAACATCAGAACAACCAATCAAAACAGATATTACATGAGTATGTTGTTTATTTGTTTACAGGTGTTGAGACTTTGTGTAGTGCCAACAGACTGAGCCAGAGAATACAACTCTTACACAAGTAAGTTCACAATAAATGTTATTCATAACTTGTTTTCTCATCATATTTTGTAGAACGTTTTTGGTTACTGCACTTGGTTTTGAAATTGAAAAATTTTTGAGATTGAAAAATTTGAAATACTTGTAATGCACTCTATGTGTTTTTGAGGTTGATGTTTATTTCTCTTCCAGAGATTGTGTTTCCGGTGTTGGGTTTGAAACACTCCACAAAGCATACCAAATCCTCAGTAACATTGAAGACGATGAAGTGGAGGTAATTTTTTAACACTAATTATTTTGTGTCGCCTACAGGAAATCAAATTTTGTTGATGTATTCAAAATTTTTCTTAAAGTTCAATTCTGAATCTAACAGATAATCATTTTTCTTCTTCTTTTTTTTTAGCCTCAGTTGGTGACTTTGATGGGGAAGGAGAATTTCGATTTGTATGCAGGCAAGATCTGGCAGCTCAAGTTCTGTGAGGAATGTCTATTGCAGCTTCCAAACCTACAGAGCTAACTACTATTCTATCATAAAGAAAAGTATTGACATTTTACAGTAATTATTGAATCCTCAAGTTGAATGATCACTGGCTGTCACCTCCCTTGACACATTAAGTGCACTGTAACCAGCACTTCATCTTTCATGGTTAATCAAGTGGGTGGGCATTTAAGCGTTAATTAACGTCACTGTCTCACATTTTAAATATTTTCACTATTACATACCAAGGATACTGGGTTTGTTCCTACACAGGATCAACATCATATGCATGTCACACTTTTAAAACCAAGGTGGGAAAGAAGTTCGCAAAATTTGTTGAACAGCTAAAATTTTCTATCACGTCTTGTACATACAGAATTTGTCCTTAAGCCTTTTGTTTCTATATTTTACAAGTGACGTTAGTAAGGATGTCTGGTTCAGTGTTTTAAGAATTTCTTCAAGTTGATCATACCAACTTTTCTGACATGAGATGTACCCAGTACTTTATGGTATATGCAGTCCTGTGATTGTGATACAAATTTATCAAGTAGTTATAATATATATACCTGTGTGTTTTTAAGTAGAATTCATAGAAACAATTATTTAGTTGCTGGTGAAAGAAATGTTTAAATGTAAACCAGTTCATATCATATCTGTATGAAATTTCTTTTGAAATCCATTGGAATGAGAAGTAACTTTTACCTGTTAAGAAAATAACATAATACACAAACCACAGTAATTAATGTGCAGGGAACAACTTATTAATCTATTGGGAAGGGGGGATAACTCTTACACATGTTGCAAGTAAACTGTATAAGAAACTTGTGGTATAAAGGAAGTCAGTTTCTTCACATTACTGATATAATGTTTGAAAATGACAAATATACTAAAGGAAAGATAACTCTTGCATAAATTCTAGATGTAATGTATCACATGTAATATGGATTATTAAGGGAAGATAACTCTAAAACAAACATTATGTATAAACTAAAATATGGCTTATTAAGGGAAGATAACTCTAGAACAAACCTTATGTATAAACTAAAATATTGATTATTAAGGGAAGATAACTCTAAAACAAACATTATGTATAAACTAAAATATGGCTTATTAAGGGAAGATAACTCTAGAACAAACCTTATGTATAAACTAAAATATTGATTATTAAGGGAAGATAACTCTAGCTCAAACCTTATGTATAAACTAAAATATGGATTATTAAGGGAAGATAACTCTAGCACAAACCCTATATATAATCTAAAATATGGATTATTGAGGGTGATTATTCTATCTGTAAAATGTATTATGGGTAGAATATATGATTATTGAAATATATATATATCTAAGGTTGTTTACAATGAGATCATCTCGTTAATCACGTTTTATTTTACGTGATTAAAAAATATTTATGTGACAAAAGTCTACTGCTGTCTTATCTTGTGGAGTTACTGCAAATTAGATGATAATGCCCAAACTTAGAACACAGATTTTTATATAAAAGAATATTTATTTTGTAAATATTGAAATTTAACAATAATTTGGTGTCTTATATTTATTTCCGTCCTAAAATCTGTTGATCTATGCATTACTTTTTATTTGTTTATATCTACAATTTGTTTGTGTTTATGTAAAAATGTTGTTTTTAATCAACACAAGTGAATGTCTTGGACCATGTTCACTAGAGAACACCATTGATCAGATAATTTTTACATGTAATATTATATGTTGTGTTTAACTACGCTATAAAATTTCTAGGGTGTGATATGTACTTTTTCCTGTACATCTGTCGTTTTCTTGTATAGGACAATAATTTCTAAGTCTATCATCAATATCTGTATTTGAAATATCAACATCAAGGTAGAAATCACGTTGATATTTTAGTAGTTACGATGGTATTACATGGTAAGGTTAAAAAGCAAGATATTATTGTCACAACATAATTCGGTACTTGGCATTAAATTTATGGAATTTCATTTTTGATTTAGTCTTCAGTAACATATAGCCGGTTATTTTGGTGTGGATGATATTTTTTGCTTTTTCATGATGCATTAATAAGAACGCAAATATAAACTGTAAAATAACGAGACTCTCGCGTATTAGGGGTCTTTTTACACCAGATTGTGAAATTGTAATTTGTTCAAGTATTACTCGTTCGTTTGAAAAGAAATTCGTTAAAATTTTGACTTGTAAAAATTACCAGCTTTACGGTTTCATGTTTATGGTATCACAATTTTTTGTTTCATACTTCTAACACCTGTGTGGTGACCTCACTACATTCTGTATCTAGGATTACAACGAGAACCTCACTACCCTAGAAATACACACCTGTGTTTTCTATTGTTCATACCTGCCAGTATATGTATTACATATTTTATATAATGAAACATAAACACTTTTTTCCTCCTACCTTTTTCATTATCCAAAATATTGTATGTATGGCAGAATTTTAATGACTCCAGTGGTGAATGCAATTGAATTTAATTGAAATGACAGATATGTTGATTGTGTTGAAATGTGGGACTGAAAATAATGGGAATGATGACCAACTTGCTTGTATTTCTTAATCCCAACTTTTTTTTTTTTATTTGTCATATTCATAAGTTTTTACTAATTGGACGGTTGAATTTGTAAATCACAGAACTAAAGTGATTAATTTGTTTGAATATTTTATGGAATCAGTTGGGGTGAGAGGTTAATTGTTTGTTGGATGACATGTATTGACCACGGTTAGAATGTAAGTGACCAGAGGTCATTTCATTCACTACAACTGTATTACCATGCCTGGTTGTTATCACAGCTTGACATTCCAGCTCACAGATTTACTTGTGTCAGTGTCCAGTATATATATGTGCTTCAGGTTCAAATCATTCTACATTTCTCTCACATCATATTCCTTAATATCCTTAACTAAGCATTGCGTTTCACCAGAGGATCTGGGACTGTGATGGCCTAGTGGTTAAGGTGTCTTTATTACATGCCCTCCACCTCCGAGGGTTCGAGGCATTCATCAGTCACACTGATACTCTTGTTGTTTAACATCTTACTTTAAGTGTAAACATTAAGTATTGAAATGTTCTGTGTTTTTTCCTTTTGTTGGGGTGGGGACATGTGTACAGTATTCTGATTGTATAATACAACCCTGGAGAAACCATCTTCACACAAACTGACCCTTGGGAAACCACCCTCATGGAAACTGACCCTTGGGAAACCACCCTCACAGAAACTGACCCTTGGGAAACTAACCTCACAGAAACTGACCCTTGGGAAACCACCCTCACAGAAACTGACCCATGGGAAACTAACCTCACAGAAACTGACTCTTGGGAAACCACCCTCACGGAAACTGACCCTTGGGAAACTAATCTCACACAAACTGACCCTTGGGAAACAACCCTCACAGAAACTGACCCTTGGGAAACCACCCTCACAGAAACTGACCCTTGGGAAACAACCCTCACAGAAACTGACCCTTGGGAAACTAACCTCACAGAGACTGACCCTTGGGAAACTAACCTCACAGAGACTGACCCTTGGGAAACAACCCTCACAGAGACTGACCCTTGGGAAACCACCCTCACAGAAACTGACCCTTGGGAAACAACCCTCACAGAAACTGACCCTTGGGAAACTAACCTCACAGAAACTGACCCTTGGGAAACTAACCTCACAGAGACTGACCCTTGGGAAACCACCCTCACAGAAACTGACCCTTGGGAAACCACCATCACAGAGACTAACCCTTGGGAAACCACCCTCACAGAAACTGACCCTTGGGAAACCACCCTCACAGAAACTGACCCTTGGGAAACTAACCTCACAGAAACTGACCCTTGGGAAACCACCCTCACAGAAACTGACCCTTGAGAAACTAACCTCACAGAAACTGACTCTTGGGAAACAATCTTCAGAGAATCAGATTATGTTTACATTTTTTGTACATTCCTTTTCATTTATCAACATTTGGGAATATTTTCCAGTGTTGTTAATATACACATATGTAAGCTTAAATTCTGTGATTTAAAAGGAAAAATGCATTAGTTTATATGACACTTCCTTTTCTGTGTTGATTACTGACATGAATTGATCTACAAGAGAGAATTCAGTCAGCTGCCATGACTAAGATCACATCTCCATGCAGGCCTGCTTTTATTGTTGATAGTTGCTGATGGTAAATTTTTTTGTTAATATATCAGGTTGAATCAACTCAAGATCAAATTTTTTTAAAGGAAATATTTTTATCTAGAAAATGTTGTAGGACATTTGTTATGCTTTACAGTCTTTTCATCCAAAAGTTGAATTTTTCATTTAAAGCCCCAATATATGCAAATAGAATGTATTTAATACATAGTGAAAATTTACTTATCTGAGAAATACTCAAGACAATATAGTGGGTTGGTATATATAAGTGTTTGATATACACTCATTGTGAACATGCCTCCATTTACAATCGTTGCTGAATGACTATACACTATTATTCTACCCGTGGTGTGACATCACAAAAAGCACACAGCTTGTGTGACATCACACTTACCCGTAACCACTCCTATGCTGAGTTTTTAGGTTTCACTCCCATATAACATTGGTTTATATTTTCAATTTGACCCAGTTTCATTAAATTTCATTTGTTTCAATATGAAAACAAAGTAGTTTTAACATATCACTCAGTGTTAGCAAGCTTATATCTTATATTTACTTAATTGACAAGTTGAGGTATTTTTTCAGAAATTTTTCGAGTCACTTAAATAGGCCAAATGATGCATATATTGGGACTTTAAAATAGATTCTAATGTGATTTATTGTATACATGACAGTCGAAAGGAATCTGAAAATTTTACAGAATGAGGCTTTTATGGGCTAGAAAAATTATATATGTAGTGAATAGGTTAGTCATCTGTACCAACCATGAAGGTTAATGAACGAGGCATTTTTTCACTTGCATAATTTACAACTGTAGACATGATGTAATAAAATTCTATCAACCATCTCACTGGTCAGTTATTTTTGTTAAGTGTGGAAAGGATGCTTGTTGTAGATTGATGTCTGTACAGAGAAGTCTGGCTAAAACAGCTTAAAAAAAAACAAATAAAAAAAAACAAGTGCTTGATGTAGATTGATGTCTGTACAGAGAAGTCTGGCTAAAACAGCCTCATTTGTCAGATCTTTGTGAGAGTGTAACAAATGCTTGTTGTAGATTGATGGGTCTGTACAGAGAAGTCTGGCTAAAAACAGCCTCATTTGTCAGATCTTTGTGAGAGTGTAACAAGTACTTGTTGTAGTTTGATAGGTCTGTACAGAGTGACTAGCTATCAACCACTTCATTTGTCAGATCTTTGTGAGAGTGTAACAGGTGCTTGTTGTAATTTGATGGGTCTGTACAGAGTGACCAGCTATCAGCCACTTCATTTGTCAGATCTTTATATTAGAGTGGAATGTAGGCATGATGAAGTTAGATGCATGTATACAAAGTGATATCGGGGTATATACCAGTTCACATATCAGATATGTGAGAATGGCTGCTCGATGAAGTTTGAGGGTTTGGTACAAAAAGGTTTTGAGTAGACTAGATTGTTCAAAGAGATGTGTTAACGAAAAAAAAACCGGAAATTTAAAACATAACTACTTGACTATTGAATTAATTGTCAGGTAAAGATCTTTAACGGAGGAGAGTGCTATGTTGTTATTTCTTTTAAAAAATCAAAATAAAGTTGTAGGTGAAGTGACTTGTGTGAAAAAAGAGGTAAGCGATGTCTTGAATCTTAAATTGAAGGAGAAAAATGGTCTAACAATCCTTGTGAATAAAGAAAAGGATTAATGCAGCATTTTGTGTTGATATTTAGGATGACTGTAACGTGACCAATAATTGCATCACAATAAACGGATCCAATAAAGTATTACAGACTTCCAGCTGTATAGTTAAAGATAAGGAAATCGAACTGCTTCATTAAATCTTTATCAAAACCAGAAAATTTCAACATGTCAACAAAATCAACCAAAACATTCATGAAACGAGAGGAAAATAGGAACCAAGGAAGCATGTAGAGGATGGTCCGTATATCAGGGCAAATGTCTGTGATACCCGCCTCGTAAATATTTTTTTCTTTAAAAATAATGTTCATTTCCTTGATGAACGGTGGCAAAACTCGTCAGAAAATTCTCCTATTTGATTCAGATTAAGATGACAAAGTCTTACTCTACCAGAACACGTCTTATTCTCCTTGTACTTCACTCGGTGTTGGTATCATATATATATTTAATGTTGATCTCCGTGGCGCTGATACCATGGATACACACATGGTCTTATTCTGTCCCTTGGTCATATGTTCAGATTTTACCTCGATTGATTTCGTTTACTCTTAAAAATTTATTTTTCTCTTTAGATATACCCTAATGTTAATCTGTTTTAACCGTACACTGTAGTAGTGTTACCATAAACAACTACACTAACACTCATGTGTATCTATGTTTGTCAGTCATTCCAGAAAATGCTGGTTTAAGGTTGGCAGGTGGAATGTCGGTACTCCAAAATGGAAAATTAAATATTTAACAGGCATTCCAAACAGTTTCCGTTTTTCTCCAAAATTTCCAATTTTCAACAAGATGATAATCGAACGATTTTCCAACTCACTGTTTATGTAATGCGATATAACACTGTACCCAGTATTGTTGGTCAATAGAATATTTCCATTCTGCCCTCTACATAATGTAACAGTAGAGAACACGAGTTGTGAACGACACTAAGTCGTATGTAGATAACACCATTTTGCTGTTTTAGGACGGTAAACCCGCCAACCAATTAAAAAAAAAATCCTTTGTAAGATAGCAAGTAAAAAGTGAAATACAAATTTAGAATTAGCTACAGTAGAGTCAAATAATGAATTAAACTGTATTATACAGCTGTTTCGTCCTTCTTGTACTCTTCTGTGATGCTACATTATACAGCTGTTTCGTCCTTCTTGTACTCTTCTGTGATGCTACATTATACAGCTGTTTCGTCCTTCTAGTACTCTTCTGTGATGCTAGGGGCTTAAATATTTAAGCCAAGAAGGCGACTGAGAAAAATCCAAATTGATCGAAAGAAAAGTCAAAATCTGGACTGGGAGGTGCAGCAACCCCTTCATCAAATAAATTTCACAATTTCCATCTATCACATCATTTCAAAACAACGTCAAGTACATGTGTATATTCTGAAATGTACAGCTATTCGAATGGATTGAAGCGTGGCATTGCTTGGTACTCAAACCTCGGAGACTAAATGTCCTCTAACAGTGACTACCACCTGTTATCTCAAAGGTTGAACGAAAGACGCGTGCCTTTTAATGCAAAGAATAAACGTTTTATTTGTTTAACCCTATATTAGAGAGATGAAGTCTTTAAGATATGTGCACTGATAAAAAAACAAGCAAAACTAAAATCTTCGCTACAAACCTGATATAATGTCACAGATGCTTTTCTATGTCACTAAAGAACTATACAAATAGCTGTAAGGATTTAATTTGAAGATATACCGCATATATAGAAATATATACACAAGTCACGTTAACATCTACCTAACTTGATGCAATTATAGTAATTTAATGTCCTAGTTTTAGTTCCTGATCTCAGAGGTCAATACATGATTCTGATTTCCATATTAATGATCTTCTGGCTAATGTGACAAAGATTTGAATTTCGTGATCTTACACTACACCTGCCTGGGCGATAGGAAAACAGAAAAAAGTCTTGTGATTCTGTAATGCCTTTCGTAGTACCATTTTATTTATATTATACACATGTACTTGACGTTGTTTGCAAATTATCAGATATATAAAAATAAATGAAATTTATTGAATTACGGGACTGGTTTAACCCCCCATTTACATTTTGGCTATAAGCATCACTGACGAGTTCTAGGAGGACGAAACAGCTGTATAATGAAACATCACTTACGAGTCCTAGAAGGACGAAACAGCTGTATGATGTAGCATCACTGACGAGACTTAGAAGGAAGAAATAGCTGTATAATGTAGCTACACTGACGAGTCCTAGGAGGATGAAACAGCTGTATGATGTAGCATCACTGACGAGTCCTAGAAGGACGAAACAGCTGAATGATGTAGCATCACTGATGAGTTCTACGAGGACGAAATAGTTAAATGATGTAGCATCACTGACGAGTCCTAGAAGGACGAAACAACTGTTTGATGTAACATCACTGACGAGTCCTAAGAGGACGAAACAGCTGTATGATGTAGTTTCTTGACTTTATTATGTCTAACTCTAAATTTGTTTTAAAAAATGGGCTATTGACTGGTGAGGATTTTGTATAATCTTCCTAACATAGATGACATTAACGGATGAAATCTTATAAAAGTATTATATGGAAAACTCGCGTGTCGTTGCCAGTAAGTAACATTAACCAACACTTTGTATATATATAAAACACCTTGATCACAGAATACGGAACCCATATCACACTTTATTATTCTAAACAATAATGAAAATAAACTTTTATTTGTTCATATCCATGAAAGCAATATATGATAATCTCGGTCAAATATCTATGACTCTTGTTTAAACATGCACAATCTAGCTAATTAGGTTTTCAAATTACGTTACAACCCGTAGAGATGGACAAACTATACTGACACTGAAGGCGACCCGTGCTGATACACTCATTTTTAGATATTCTGTAATAATAGAATCATATATGGTAATTAGTTCTAAAACAAGTTTCAGTTTATATTAGCATACTGTTGTCAGAATTTGATAATACACGAGATTCTTCAGGGGTTTAGCACCTCACATCAAAGATCAGTACAAGCTAAATATTAGTGTTAGATAGGACACCTGAATCTGATAGACATTGTAACTTTTGCGGGATATAA